ATTCAAAAGTGTTCAGACCCACATCCCTTGCCTGCGAATACAAGCCCCAAGACCATTCATTGTATGCTGATGCTCCATGGTCCTTAGAATGAGCAAAAGCCAGGGCCAAAGAAATAAGATGAGGCCCTGGGCAGGTTAGACAAGGCCTTGGGCAATGTGATCTAGTGGGTGGCATCCCTGCTGACAGCAAGGGGGCTGGAACTAGGTGGTCTTTAAGGTTGCTTCCAACCCAAGATGTTCTATGACTGTGATTCTACAAAACAAAACAAAACAAAACAAAACAAAACACACCTATATTCTCACCATATTCTCACACAAACATAAGAAATGAGATGAATCAATTAGTGACTGCAAATAGTTGGCAAGTGTTGCAATAGTTGGCAAAATACCAGGATTATGAAGCATTTCAAATTCTAGGGCTCCCTACAGCCCATCCTCAGTATCTGACATGACTACAATGCACTTATGTGAATCAGATAGGTTACAACCCTTTGCCTTTATATAGAAGCTCCCTGAAGCCCACATCTTTTGTATCGAGCACATAATTGGCAGATACAAGAAGAAGTTTCGGTTAGTTGAGTTAAAAAGTTTAGAAGAAACTGTGATGTTTACATGCAGAGAATTAACATAGCTTTACTCCCCACAAGCAAGTAGGCTTGCATTGCAATGTTATTTGCAGGTTTCATAGCAACTTCTAATTCAGCAGAACATACGAACAAAAAGCATATGGAAAGGACAAAAATATATCTTGAGGTAGCTTTTAACTAGGAATATGGTAAATGGGGGAACAGATGGCTCTTGGTTGCTGACTTATATTCACTGACCTGAACTTTACTAGATGAGCTGGTTTACTTGCTGATAATTTTACCAGAGGGGGAAGAAAAAAAAAAAAAAAAAAAAAAAAAAAGGGACTATGCTAGAGACTGACTGTCCTCCCTCTGTCCAGAACAGGACTAAGACACAGGGTTACAGCAGGGAAGGGATAAACGAGAAGTGAAAAGAACACAAAAGCCACCCTTGGAAAATCATATCTATACAGAGCATTCAGTGGGAGCAGTATTTGTATACAGACCTACCATGTAACCTCATTCTTGACAGCAAAGCTCTGTCAATCCTCCAGAAAAGAAAAGTAATATCTGTCATGAGGAAGAGTAGTAGTGTTCCTTCCATACAGAGGGGGAGAGCAGGAGCACATGCATCTGTCCTGTTCAGCATGCATGCAACAAAGTGGTCCTTTTATCTGGAGGTACTACTTTTGTTACACAGGGCTTTTTCCCAGACAACATTGTTCTAGAGGAGAAGTATCTGTATGTCTCCTCCCCACTCCCCCTACCTGGGACAGCCAAGCATGGTGAACCTTACCTTTTTTAAAATATCACCGAAAGGCACTGAAGAAGGCCCAAGGCAGAGGAAGGGAAAATAGCTATGTGGATTAAGTGAGGTGAGCTCATGAAATTTCTTCGTAAACAGAAATGACAGGCTAGCTTGGAAAAATAAATTTTCCCTAAGTATACCTGACAGCAGAAGCTGACTGATCAAACAGGAGCAAATGTTTAATGAAATGGACAAGGATGGAAAGCCAAAGTGAGGCCATCCTTGGGACCCAGCAAAATGAACCAAGTTATGGAAAACACGTGAGTCATGCTGAGGAAACAGCCTTGATGTGTGTAGCAGTCCAGATTGTGACCCTAGCTACTTACAGAGGAGCTTAAGTGAGAACAGGGGACCAAGAGACACACACTTGTGACAGAGAGCTGTGACAGAAAGCATGACTTCACCTTCCTGGCGCTGAGGCCCCCACTCCCCGGCTTCCAGATGCAAGACCCATTCTGGTCAGGCTATAAATGTATCACACCATATAAACAGCAAAAAACAAGCCATCAAAACCCTACTGCTGTTCAGTGATGAGCGTTTTCAGAATGAGCTTTGTGCTGGCTGTCTGCATACGCACAGAAGTGTACAAATCTTTTTTAACACAGAGAAACTTCCCACAATTTCAGTACAATATTCTTCCTAAAAACCTGAAGATCATAGAATCATAGAATAGTTTGGGTTAGAATGGCTCTGAAAGATCACCTGGTTCTAATCCCCTGCCATGAGCAGGGACACCTCCCACCAGACCAAGCTGCCCAAAGCCCCATTCAGCCTGGACTTGAGCACTTTCAGGGATGGGGCATACACAGCTTCTCTGTGTGACCTGTGCCAGGGCCTCACCACCCTCTGAGTAAAGAATTTCTTTCTTATATCCAATCTAAATCTCTTACAGTTTAAAACCATGACGCCTTGTCCTACCACTGCACTCCCTGACGGAGTCCCTCCCCAGCTTTCCTGTAGGCCCCCTTTAGGCACTGGAAGGCCACTGTAAGGTCTCCCCAAAGCCTTCTCTTCTCCAGACTGAACATCCCCAACTCCCTCAGCCTGTCCTCATAGGACAGGTGTTCCAGGCCTCCAATCATCCTCATGGCTTTTCTCTGGACTTACTCCAGATGCTCCATGTCCTTCTTATAATAGGGGGCCCACAGCTTCACACCGTGCTCTAGGTGGGGTTTCACAGAGAGCCACAGTACTCTTACAAATTATGAACCATCTTAACAAATATTAATTTTTCATCACTGGCTTCTGCTTTGCCAAACTTAATAATCAAGAAGATGGATGCCAGGGTTTAAACTTGTTTTTGTGACCCTCAAGACAGAATAAAATCTTGATGGAAACAGGAATCCTACCTGTTGTTGAATATATCCTGGTTTTCACTCAGCAAGTCACAGATAGTTGATACTATTCATTAGTAGTAAAAACTGGGAAACCAGAAAGGTCATTTAATGCTACCTCTTTCAACCAGCTGGGCTGTAAATTTTCTGATATGCCACAGACCTCAGTTCAGGATTTCAGCCTAAGTGGTTTACCCTGTCTGACAGATGAGGTCTGTGGCAAAGCTGGAACGGAACCCAGAGATCCAGATTTCACCTTTCATTCCCTAACCATAGCACCAACCTTTCTTAAAACGTGGCAAAATGGGATTCTGTTTTATTCTAAATTTGGGTGTGACTTTTACAATTCATAGGTATGTCTTTGTTTATCTGGTGAACTGAAAAGCTTCCATTAATAAAGAAAACTAAAAGGTTTTCTGGAAGCTTATCCTCAACAGACCTTAAATTCCAATTGTAGATTTTCTCAATTTTCTCATTAGAGAAATAATGGGATTTTACTGAGGAAATAATTAGCCTCATTTTGATAAAACCTTGTCTGCCAAATGGGTATAGACACATATTTTGAGTAAGAAAACTTTGTTTTATTTATTTTTTTTTGTAAATGAAGCTATAGCTCTTAGGTTAATCAGTGTTCTTCAGAAAAATCATATTCTCTGGGTAAGCAGACACAAGCTGTAAAAATTCTCTTTGCTGTGTTACAACCTCCTCTTTAAATAAAAATATATAAATAAATAAAACAAGAAAAGAGGATTATTTCTCTCTCTCTGTTCCTTCATCATGATCTTACTTATACCTTGCTGTAGGCTATCCTGTCATTTTCAGATTTTCAGATTTTTGATTCCTTCATGAAGCAGACATTCACATTAAATATACTTTCTCACAGATGTTACTGACAGCACCAGAGAGCCAGGCTTGTGCTTATTTATCTGTGGAACATATTTATATTCTGTCTATGCAGGTGTGTGTGTTTCAGAATTAGCAATAATAACATTTTTCAAATTTCCGGCAAAAAGTTGCCTCCAGGTTCAGGGATAAGTGTGCCATAAAGGGAAGTCACTCATTGTACCATAGACCCCAAATCCAGAAAGACTTTAGACATAACGTTGCAAGCGATTCAGCACAACTAGCTGCATGCTGTAATTAACGGGTATGCCCAAGTGCCATGCAGAAGCTTTGCTCTAAATGCCTTGTCAAGCAGGAGCCTAGGTTGCTTTGAGTTAAATGCTGAAGTGCCAACAACTGGGCTAGCTGCAAGAGAGCTGAAGAAAAGCAGAGCCTTCACCTGTGCTTTCCAACATGAGTGTGAGCTATGACATGAAGCTAAGCAAAAACAAAAAAAAAAACACACAACACAAAACAGTAGGAACTATTGTGAAGAGATAGAGCTAGATTCTCTGATGGCTCACGCGGAGCAGAAGAACAGCTTGTTACCTACAAAGAGCAAAATACTCTCTGGTGGATACCAGAAAAGGAAAGAAGGGGAGAAGGAAAGCAATGTGCAAGTCTGCCTCCAAAAAATCAAATCCCAATCAACTCAGTCTTGTTTTCTTCGTTTAGATTAAATGTCTAAAATACCTTGCAAAACACAAGTCCAAGTCCCATAATACTCTGCAGATGCACTTCTGATTCAAGTAAGATAAGAAAAAAGGATATAAAGCAGATAATAAGAGGTAAATATAGATAAGAAAAAATGCTATAAGTATCCTTTTATCACTATGGAAAAAAAAATCAACCAAAACAAGAAACCACTTTGTTATTGTTTTCCTGTAAAACCAAGACTAAATGACTCTGGAAAGTGCAATTTTAGACTAACTCACTAATAAACCTTCTCTATGGTATATGTGGATTGAACTGATCAGTGCTGGTCTCCTCAAGTGACCACAAGAATAATAGAATAAAACTGTAAACACACTATAGCAAAGGACATCTTTTGTGCAATAATTGTGAAACTTTCATTATACAAACCTTCTCTAAGGTTTCTAGACCCTCTTCTACAAAGCAAATTGTGAATTTCGAACACACAGAATCCTCCTGTAGAAAGGACAGCATTTAAATGTAGCATCAGTCAGCGTGTTGGGTATGTTTATTTTTTGTGGTAGGAAAAATCACTGAAAATATGTCAAAAGCTGATCAATCACATGGATTTATGGATGTAACAAAAGAGACAACTGTCCTTTTGGAAGGTTAGTCAGTACTTCTTTTCACCTTTTTGGTCCTGCTTTGTTATTTATACACAGTATGTACACAAATAGCTACACTTATTTTGTCTAATTGAGTATAATCCAGTCTTACCTGGCAAGTCCATATTGATGTGATAATGAATCCATCATCTCTGAAAACATTGAAGATTTCAATGATCCCCCGTGAGTAACCAAACACAGAGATGCCAGCATCTGATATTGCCAAGTTAAATGTGAGGTAGTCAGTGGGCTGCAGAAGATGTCTTTGTTTATACAGGACAAAAATCACAATGCTATTTCCAAACCAAGACAGCCAACCTGGAAAAAAAATATTAATGAAATCTAAAACCAAACAAAGCAAGCAGCAGTTCAATCTGTAAATGTGTGAAGTCACTTCTAATGCTACCCTTTTGTTCCATTAGAAATTAATTGAAACTGTATTTTAGCCACTGGACAGCCTATGCATGAAACCTTTATAAGTAACTAGGTGCATTTCAGAATTAGGAACAAGTGAATAACTGGCAATAAAACAGAATGAACACAAAGAGTTGCTGCTGTGTTTCCCAAAGATCCACCATTTGAAGGCCTGGAGTAAATTTATTTATTTTTTCCTAAATAGATGGATGAAACTCATGAAACAACTCCTGGGGAAAAAATAGAAAGAGTGGTAGAGTGGAGCAGAGACTACATAAAATCTGCTAGAAGCTGCAGCTGTTTAGATATGTTGTATACAGTAATGGATCCTGAATGTTCACGCAAATAGTCACAGAGATGCTTCAGCAGTCCTTTCTGGAGAAGTACTGCCCTTTTCAGCTAATACAATTAAGTTTATTCTCTTAGAACAGTCTAGGATCTCCTTTCAGCAAAGTCTGTCCCAGCTGGAAATGGCTTAATCTGTATAAAAAGAACATTTAGATAAGGACATTCACAGAAGCACTAAAGGAGAAAAAAAAAACAAACAAACAAACAAAAAAAAAAGTTGTGCCTTCTCTTACAGTCTTGTATGTCTAGCTACATGAAGAAAACACGAGGAAGGGAGATGATTCTGAATCTGGTAATAATCAGTCACCTACTCATTTGGAGAGATCCAGAGTTTCTGAATATGTGTGGCTATTGCTCTACCTGTCCATGCAAGACCTGGGTTGTTTGCATCCCACTTTCTGAAGTGATACAGACATGTAGAAAGGAATTACATTTAACAAGACACTTGCTTGTAAGTATCAGGCTCATTGTTGAGAATGGGACTTAGCTGGTGAAGGGGACAGCTCCAGGGCAGCTTCAGGAATGATGAGTACTCCTGATGAGCACCAGGTTAGGTAGCACCTAGCTCCCATCAACTCACACCTCCATCCCAAAACCTGCTCCATGACTGCACACACCTCACCTTGTTAATGCAGACCAAAACATCACCTCTTCTGGGTGTCTGCAGCTTAGAACAAGTTTGTAGGAGCCTAGGAGCTGGTGGATTTGTTTCCCACAGCTAGTGCCAAGGTGCAACCTTAACTAACAACCAGGTCAGAGAAAAACATTAATCTTCCATCGGGACACAAGAAGTAGTTATCCCAGAGTATGGATGCTGAATACGGACACAACAAGATGCAAATACATGCACTGAAGAAGGATGTGATGTGACGGCATTGCACAGCATCTCTAGATATTCAGAGAAGTTCACAAGATGAAGAACAGCTGACAGGTTTATTATCACAGCAAGGTGGCAGCTGCCTTCCTTTGGGAATCATAATAACCCCAAATGATGGGAACCCAGTGTTTCTCAGTCAGACTGTGGCTCACAAGGCAGGGACTTAGCAGGAAATTTCCTCTGTATGTCCAAGCCAGCTGGGAACATCACTAGCTGAAACACCAGTGAGCAATGTGCTTGCTCTCCAAGTAGTGAGGTTACATATTTACAGCCCAGCAGGGTGCAGCGGCTAGTCTGGAGCGGGAGGTGCTTGGTGGGACAGTCTCGGTACTGCAATGCAAACAGCTTTTTCTGCAGACTAATTTCCTTTCTAATAACTTCTTTGTAAAACTGCCAAGAAGCTGCCGTTCTGGCTCGCATAGCAAACACGCATGAATTGCTGAAGTGCTTTCAAACTGGGAAGAGCTGACGTGTCAACATATGGCATTAACCAGAAATAGACATGGGTGTAATGATATGTTGAGATCCATACGTGTAGATATATATATATATACACACACATACATATTTATACAGATATATGTCCTTGTAAGATTGACAACAATAAGTGTATCTTATTCTGGCCACTAGGTGACAATGTTTCTTAACGGAGTCTTATTACCAGACTGTGTGTTCTTCAAGACAGAAATTGTTTTCAACTTTTCTCTGGGTCTCGGCATTATAAATAGGTACAGCAGGGCATGGGAGGACTGACTGCTTTGGGAGTGCATTAGGACAGTTTGCAGTGCAATCATGAGAGCTGTGGTGTTTACATGCGTCAACTCTACCTCCTCTAAGGTAAGATAACTTTCAAGGCAGTAGGTGTGGAAGTATTTTCCCTATCAATATTAAGAGACTGTGCTAAAATGACAAACGTAATAAAATTTCACCTCCTTTGTAAACAGTAACCTTTTGTTAATGCAATGCAGTGTAATAGATAGGAGGACTGTCCTTACAATGTCATACACGTGCACTTGATAGGAATACACAGAACAAATTCCCTTGAGCCTGGAGAGTAAGGGAGTTTTCAGTCAAAGTGTCTTAGGGGAAAAGAAAAGAAAAAAAAAAATACCTGAGGAAAAAGGTCATGCAAAAGAACAATACAACTATTTTAGATGAAGATGACACACACCCCGTATTTGTGATCACTTTCAAAACTAATTTCAGACACCGAGGAATGGGGGTGAGGGAAGCAATGAGAGAGAGAAAATCAGAGAGAGAGTGCATGCATAACACTTTTGAAGACAGGCACAACGCTCTCAACCACTGCAGGTGAGTAACCTTCACTGGCATATCCAGTCTCTAAAACACCTGATGTGTCTTGGAGATATGCCTTATTAGTACTCCGATCAAAAATAAAATAAAGAAGGAACTCAGTTCTAAGAAAACAAGTGAGTTTTGTTTTGAGTAACAAAAACAATGGTGACATAGAAGTACTATCAACCAGGGCAGTGACTGTGGGACACTGGATCTCTGCACCCTCAGGTAGGCATGCTGCTTTGGGGTTGCTGACTTTGGACTTTGCCAAACCCAACCAAACAAAAACACCTCCCTCCCAGCCCTGAGAATACAATGAGGGAAAAAAGGTTTAAAAATGTAATACCAAGCAAATGCAGCAATAGTTCTGACACCCTTGGTGAGGGCAGGAATTTCCTCAACTGCTTTGCAGGCATGTCTGCCTCAGGGCAGATCACAGGCCAATCCAGACCCCAGAAAGAAACTTCCGAACTTTGAAGTGCTATAAGGCATTGGTGTCACCAGGTGGCCTCTCAATGAAAAAAGGGGTAGAAGAGATTGAGTTGAGGAATCCAGTTCTGCTTTCTGCAGGCTGTCAGCAATGTTCTTACAGGAATATATGGAAAAATGAAACAAAAACAAAACCCTCTAAACCCAATCTTGGGATCCTCAGGAAATTCTGTTGAGAAAGGACAGACAGGTTCCAACTGAGATCTCTAAGTGGCTGAGAGAGAAAAATAACAGATAGGGTGAAACTGAGAACTTCCACTCAACATAAGGTTCAGAGTAGAGCCATCGCAGCTCCCTAACAAGCTGTAATGCTGCTGATATGGTCTCATTGACGAGGGATGCTGGCAGTTAAATGGCAGGTGACAAAATTGCTGATGTTCATTAACAGAGGACAGGACTGAGAGCAGCTGCTGTGAGACTGCCAGTATCAGAGCAGAATAGGCTAAATGAGCGTTGATAATTGCTACATACTGAAAAACTAAAGAGTCACCCATACTTCTCAGGATCCTGCTTTTATCTGTGGACAGTGCTGTGAAGACCTTTTCTACAGAAACATAGTTGGTACCACATTTGCAAACACTGGGAGGTAGGAGGAACAGGATGGAAAGCAATATTAAAAACCATTGTATTGCCCTTATATAACTCAGTAGTAATCCTTCCCCTGAAGTAATACCTCCTAATGGAGCATTTTAATCCTCGGATTTCAAAAATGCTCCACAAAGGAGGTTGGTGCAGTTATCCATGACTTTCAGGGGAGGAACGGGAAGGCTGCCAAGCCAGCTGGTAGAAGTCAGGAACCGAAACACAAAGTCCTGTATCAGCATGCTGTCCACCAGCCAGTGCAAAACAAGCATCCAAAAAGCAGACAACAAGAATGAATAAAGACAGTGAAAACGTCTCTGCTGAAAGCATCTGAGAAGAGTGAATTGTCAGGATCAGGGAACAGCTAATGTAGAATGCAACAATTTTACAAAGATTTCTGCCAGACCACCCAGGCCTGAGAATGTAGGCATATCCTCTTTTCTCTCATCTGTTTGAGAAGGGCTATGAACAAGGGAAGAACACCAGAGCCTGTGTGCAATTCCATTCTTTGCATTAGATTTTTTTTTTTTTTTCCTCCCCAGAGTTTAGTTTGGTATAGGGAAACTAATAGCTTATTTTCAATATTCCCATATTTCCAATAGATGCCAGCATCCATGCTCAGCTAGGACAGGTAATTGTCCTTTTTATGTACTTAGGCTTCTTCATACTACACATACACTGTTGTGTGGGCCTTACTTTTAAAAACTTTTAAGAATTAATTTAAAAAAGGAGTGGGTTATACCTCACCCATCTACAGTTTAAAACATCCAGTCTTAAGTGGAAGGATTCAAGTAATGAAGTAATGAAGAACAAAAGGTGAAGACTCAGTGTCATAGGGCAAACTATGTTTTTCCCTTGGCTTCACCTCTAGGAATGAAATTGGATTGAGTATCTAGATACAGAGCAGGCATGAATGGAGTTGAACACTGACACCACCGCCTGTACTACGTAAGCGTAAATCCCTATCTGAAGGAGTCTGCTGTCAAGTTTTCTAACCTGAAAATCTTTTATCTAAAACAGTGAGAAAATCTAAAGTTTGCAAAGCTGTCATTAACTACTGCAGCTGTGAAGTGATCCTGTTCTGTTTTCAGTCTTCACCGCTAATTATACATACACAATATCCTATCTAGGCCATATTGCCAATTTTGGCAGAAAGAAAAGTCATCATGTTTTAGACTTGACAAAGCGTGGAGAGATTATTTGTTCGATAAGTACGATCATTTTGTGGATGGATACTTTGTGAATAGCTTGTTTTCTTTCCCACCTTCTCAGGTTTAGCTGTCAAATAACTGTCCAAAATAACACTCATTCTGTCACTTGTCAAGTAGCTTACTGACACCATTCGGAAATTAGTGCCATTTAAAGGCAAGTTTGGGTCTTGTGGTCCGTTCCCATTTTCAGATCAGGCTGGTAATGCTCTCATCATGCCTTTCTGATGTGAGCACTCACAGAAAGTCAGAATTTGTTTTCTATCAAATATTCTGTCATGCTCAAAATTTTCTTTTATGCCAAACTTTCATTTTAACAGCCCCAGTTAAATATGAATCTAGGGAACTAGGAAAATGAGCACAGAGCAAATTGTGTCTAAACACAGAAAATAACAATTACTTCAGGATTACAATTAATATTTATGGGGAGAAAAAATGTCATCCCACCCCACCAGTCTGGATTTGACTTAGGTAGCAGTTTTGAATCTGGTGGTAAGTTTCAATAGCAGCTGTGACATTCCAAGCATTTACAAGCTTGTCAGGAGGAACTGGAGCACTTAAAAACCAATGAATGTGCAACCTTTAGCAGCTGTATGAAGTTATCACAGTAGGACTGCAGCTTTACAGATATATGGGGCAGATGAAGTTGATTACAAATAGACTTCAGAAAGTAAACTCAGATGAAGCTTAGACTAGTTACAAAGTTTGAAATATTTTGGTAATAACTTGGTGGTTCATGTGTTTGTCCGTTTTCAAAAACAGGTAATGTTTGGCTGAATGCATTGGCCCCTTGATATATAAAACATCAATTATAATGAAGTGCATAGGTGTGTTTTTTATGTAGCTGCTAACAGTGGAATTGTATTGCTGTCTCCACATTTAAAATAATTAAATAAATAAAAAGCATATCCAAATATTTCTTAAAAGAGATCTGGAAGAAATACATACTGAATTCTAACATCATAAGCTGGAGAAAAGAGAAAAAAAAAAAAAAAAAGCAACCCACCAAACACAACATTCCTGCTGAAAATTGTTATTTTCTTGTTGTCTACATTTCAGCTGTCAAACTCTGAAAAACATTCTTTTAGAAAGATCATAAAGGAAATTCTCTCCCCTAATATTTTTATACTTACAGCTTATTTTCACCACTCCCCTCAAAGAAAGATTCTCCTTGACAGCAGTACTAAAGAGTGCTTTGGAAGATATTGTGGCGACTCATAAAACACACACAATTGGAAAGTTCCAATTTTTTCTCACTGACTTTGAGACCTTATTTACAGTCTTTCAGTCATCCTGCAGCAGCAGGTCCTTAATCCAAATTTTAAAGGGTGGATAAAGTGACGGTTATAAAATGAAAAATAGATTCTTTGGTAATAAGGGCTTCTGAAAACTAGCTTATGCCCTACTAGTATTTTTCCAAATAAATTGGTATAGAAGTACTAAACTATCTTTAATAAATACATGTATTCTGTTAGCATATAGGAAATTGTTTATTCACACAGGTGAGGAATAGAAACAATTGCAAAGTGATGTGGACCTGAGCATGAATGTTATGTGCAGGGAGATTAGTAATGAGTTTCCTCCATGAGTGGCTTCAGAACAGGTTTTAGGTTCACGAGAGGTTTGGCATAACCAGGAGCTACAGCAGCTATGAAATTGCTGGTGAAAGTTGACAATCAGTGATAGAAGATGACTGGATAGCATATAAAAATTACTTGGTGACTTTGAAGACTGCAGTAATTAGGAATGAATGAAATTTAACAGAACAGTGTAAAAGCTTGGGTGCTTAAGTACTTGAAAGTGTATTTGCTAATAAGATGTGAGGTCAGCATTAGGAGGCAGCAAAGGAAAACACCTTCAGTGGAAGAAGCGTGTGCTACCTGTCTGTGATGCACAGGCACCACTAGGAGGGATTAGCAGAGCTACAGAAGTGTAAATATGAATGAATGGTGATGGTGAGATCTTGTTTGGATTCTGTATGTAGTTCTGGTTCAAAAAATGAGTCAAAGTTGGAACTGCAAAAAGCTGCTATGATGATGGGCTAAAATGACAGAGGAAACACTATTATGACTAGGAGATAAAGAAAACCCTCATTTGCTTAATATTGGAATACAAAGTTTGACAACAAGATATTAATGTTACTCTAGGGATACAGAGAGGCTGTAGGAGATTAATTGCAGGCAACAAAAATTATTTAAATTAAAAGGAGTGACAAAAAGGACAAAGCTCATATGATCAATTTAGCTAAGAATTTAGGTAAACGGTCCTACCCAACATAGAAATGAAGTCAGGAACAGGCTGTCGTTTGGAAGAAGGGCAGCAACAACAAAAATCCCTAACCATTTGTAAAAGGAAGCATGATAGCTTTGTAAAAGGGATTATATATTGTCACAGCAGGGGACTGGCCTTGCTGACCCACAAGGTTTTTCTAGTCCTAAATGCAACTGATTAATTCATTAGCTGATGGTGCAGCCTGTTCCCAGCCATTTGTGCCGGGGTGTGCACATGCGAACAGATTGGGAATGAATTTGAGATAACTCCATTTTATCTTGCAGGCACTCTTCTAATTAAGTTTCTTAATAAGATAAAAGTCATGCTTTTTTATTTACTTTTTTTTTTTTTTTTTTTTGCTAGAATCTCTCTTTTTATTCCAAACCAACTTCTTTTTCCCCTGCTTTTTACAGATAAAACAGAAAATCTCATATAAACAAAGTACTTATTGTTTTACATTATAATTTTCACAGTGTTTTTTTCAAGCATTAGCTGATGGTGAGTGAGCTACTTGCAATATATGGCAAGCTTAGAAAAATAAAAAAATGCTTAGGTCGGCCATTTAAAAATAAACATTTTTGTATGGGCTGCTTAGAACAACTGATGTAGAAGTTATTTTTTCTTGAACTTTAATGTGAAGCTATACAGATGGAAATTTTGATTACTTACCAAACCTGCATTCTTTAATATGAGGTTTAATATGAGGTTTGCTCATATCCTTCAGTGAGTCTGCCTCAAGTAGACAATATTTAAACAAATGACACCAACAAAGTTGCACTGTGATCCAGCTGAGTTCATATTAGGTTCCATTTTCAGCTACTATACAATTACAATAGCTGTCACACAGGAGAATGTAAATGAATGCAAAGTATTGTAACTGCTAACACAGGATAATGCTCTAGTCCTTAGGTCTCTCATAGGTCCTGTTTAAAGAAGTTTTTGTTTGTTTGTTTGTTTGTTTTTCAGTGAACAATTAAAGCAAAAGTAGTACAAATAGTTTAATTTAGGGAAAAACACAAATGATAGAACTGTATTTTCTGTCTCTGCAGGAGGTAATTGTAAGATGCCAACTGACCAGCAGTAGTCAAAACTCTGGAAATCACAGAACATTAATTCAGTGCTACTGAGACATAAGAAGATAGAGAAGTATTATATGTGCTTCTGATAAGGTATTTCTTAATATGTGCTCTTTCCACATATTAAATTCAGTGAACAATAATTAAGCGTTTGCAGGATTGAGTGTTTTTTCTTTCTTTTCAAAAATTTTGCATTGATTATTAATCACCGTTTAGCAAAAGAAAGCTTGATCTTGTAATAGCTGAAGAAAAAAGTTGCATTTTATAACATCTTGATCTGTTATGGGTAAAAACCAAGTGCAGTCAGTCACTCTGAGCTTTATACCAAACTCTACTAGGAGCTTCATTTTACAAGCCAAGTCAAAACAAAGTACATACCTAAAGCCAGTAGGTAGAAGCCTATAATAGTCTCTCCTTGTTCTGTGACAGCAGCCTCTCTGCTCAGGAAACTGATGTTGTTGTTCCTCCAGGGTGCCTGTGGAGACTGGAGAGACATTTTCAACAAAGCCTATGACCCAGAACTTGCCTTTACCCCAGTATATCTCAAATGCCAGGGAAAATAAAATAAATCCAGCCTTTTCTTCTGCTTCTGCTCCCGCTATTCGGAGAAGCTCTTCAATGAGACTAATAACCTAAAGAAGGAAGTCTCAAGGGACAGGAGCTTTACAGCCTTCAGACCTGTGCTTATTCACTAATCCTATCTATTAATACAGCCTGTGAACCTGTGACAGCCAAACGTAGCAGATTTCCTCACATCCTTGTAACTGCTACATGAAGAAATCTTGAATGAAGAATGTGTATCTGACAAAAAGACAACCTCCTCTAAAATGGAGTGATACTACATAGCCTACAGGTTCACAGGCACACCCACAAGCATAGTGTATGTTGATATATTGATGAAATACCATTACTTCCATGTTTTTGTCATCACTAAAGTGTGTTAGGGTTTTAGTTTTAAATACATTTTGAGGAAAAATATCTCAGAGAGATTAGAGAAGAAGGTGCATCTGAGAATGTGACTTTAATACAGCACAAGTAGTAAACTATGAAGTTACTTTACTAGCAGAACAAATTGCTAATTTTAAATAAAGGGAAAATTTGTTTTCCACCTGTACTGGAAATTGTCTTAAGAACTGTGAATCTTATTTTTACACTGCTAAGCACCTGCCAATCTTACACATTCCAAGTACAGTTGGATTATCCCACCCTGTTGAAAAATGAGATCTTCTAGAAACATTACATGTGCTTTCAGTGAGTCAGTTTGGAGTAGTTTCAGTCTTTACTGAGGTATCAATGATTGCATTTCAAATATGGTCTGTCTTACCAACCTGCCTGTAGTCGTAATTCAAAACTGGAGTCTGAATTAGTTCCTCTGAAGCAGCAAATGTTATAACCACCTCACCTCAAGAGGGGAGGCTAAAGGAAGTGTGATGAATAATAATGGAGGGCAACCCTTTGCAGCAAGAAGAAACAGCCACATTGTGCTCAAAGGCAAATTGCTGGCTGTGAAAGTAGACTGGGATGAACCCTGAACACTCCCCAAGACCAGCTGAAATCCAACAAGCTTACTGAGGCAACTGAAAGCAGAATTTGGATTTTAAGACCATCAGCAAGCCATGGTTTCAAGACTAGCAAAACTGACTGCTTCTACGCTATGTATAAAACAACTGACAGTCAGGACTCTTACCTTCTATTTTAAGCACTTTTGTTGCTTCATGGCTGGAGCATATATGACCTTAGGGGAAATTTTGCCATTTCTACACTTCTAGAAATGCTGTCCCTCAGTTGCCTTTGTGCAAGGCTTTCTGAGATCCTTACAGGATAAAATACACTACTGGGGGAAGTAAAACCTACCTAATATAATCAGTACCTATTGTTTCATTTTCCAGGTGAACACAAGGAAATTCTTTACTCCAAGGGTGGTGATGCACTGGCACAGGTTGCCCAGAGAAGCTGTGGATGCCCCATCCCTGGAGGTGTTCAAGGCCAGGTTGGACGAGGCCCTGGACAACCTGGCCTAGTGAGAGGCATCGTTACCCACAGCAGGGGGGTTGGAGCCAAATGATCTTTTTAAGGTCCCTTCCAGCCCAAGCCATTCTGTGATTCCATGAATATAAGAAATGAATATTGATGTCTGTACTTGAAGGTTTAATGAAGCCATTCCTGGAACATTAAGGAAGGAAAAAACCTTCTCAAACCACAGATGCCTGAGGACACCTGATTAAAATGATTGGGTGAAGACATGACAGGTTAACAAAGCCCATGGTACAGCCACACTGAACCAACCAATAATCTCTGAGGTGGAACACAAAGCCAATTTAGAGTGTATATAAGCCAGCAGGTAGCTCTTATTTGGGCTGCTAAAACGTGTGACAGCCTTTTAATCCCTAGTCCCTAACCTCTTTAAGTGGGACATATATACCACCACAGCAAGGCACGTAACACAGCAATATTGACTGGCTTGAGAAACACAGTCTAGTTACATGACAGTTCAGTTTACCAAGAATTCCCAGTACATCATAAAAAAAGTAAGATTTTAAATCTGTGTGTGACAGGAAATTTATGATGTCATATGTTTCTAACAAGCATCTGTTTTCCCTGGGGAGCACCAAAAAGTTAGGATGTTGCCAAAGGAATGATTTTGTCAAAAAGCTAGCATGAGATCTCACAGCACTGCTTTTGCATGATACCTGTTACACGGGGATTAAATAGTTTGGACTAGGGGCAAAAGAGGAGAAAGTGAGACATGAAAAATATGCAAAAGGTTTAACACCATATACCATAAGCAGATAAAAATAGATGCTGGAGGGCATTTTGAAGGCATAATATTTTGTGAAATTTTTGAAAAGTATGAATCAAGGGGATTTCAAACTAATCCAAGGGTATATTACTAGGCAAATCTCTACATTGATTTTTTTTCATAAATTACTTTGGTTTCAACTTCACATTTTTCATTATAATCAATATCAAATAAAAAATCCAATCAATTTCCAACAAGATAGTACTTAGTCTTGGAAAGAATAATCTTGTGATGATGAGTTATGCCTATGAACTTCACTGAGGTAGCCAGAAAATGCAATTCATATCAGTAAGAGATTATTTTCCAAAATAAGACTATATATTTGTTCACCACTTCCAATAAAATACACTTGTTGAAATAATTTGTGCATTTTCCCAATGACAAATGAACTCAAAACTCCTATAAACATTAGATCAGGGTATTAATGTTTAAAACATACCAATTGTTTAATGGAAATGACTGTGCTTGCTGCATGCTACTTGGAACGTCTACCTGTAAGAAAGCAGACCTGAATCTGTTCTTTCATTGCTGAGATTCAGCTGGTGGCATTGTGGGGACCTCTGATCATATAGGAGAAAAAACACATCCTTTTTTTTTTTTTTTTAAAAAAATTGAAGAATGATTATAATATGAAATATGCTGTGCCATTTATGATATGTATGTCCATCTAATCTTAGACTATTCCCTTCCCCTGTGACACTTACCATAAGTACAATGCACTTGATGCACTCTGTAGATGTATGCTGGAACCACATTTCAGTTCTGTGTTACGTTACTTGATAAATTCAGTTAAGAATATGATTATATCATGTAATTATATATATCATGTAATTAATATATTGTAAAATACATGCTTCTGCCATGATGTTTATTGGGTTTAGCCAGCTCTACTTCACACTTTACTCTTATTCTCTATCTTGAAAGCTGTCAGAAAAAAATGCTTCATTAGAGCTCATTACTGCAATATACAATTTGAAATTAACAATTTCTCAGGGAACACAGTGTTTCAATTGATGCTAGTATGAAAACAGACCTTCTCCCAGATTCAAACATATGTTGCTTTTATATTGGATGAAGATGATTCAGCAGAAGCAAATGTGTGTTGTGCAGGTCAGGTGGCTGAGGCTTTTGTACTATTTTATTGCCCTGCTCTGAGCTGAACTTACACTGAGCAGGTTAGGTGATGCTAAAGAAAACTAAACCCTGTAGGCAGCTGAATGAGTTCACAAGAGATCACATTAAGGAGCAGGAAATCAGGTTTCTGAGATGACAGAAAGAGTGTCCTAGGGAAGTGAGATCACTAAGAAAAAGTGGAAATTCAGATGGAAGGCAGGAGCCTCTCTGTGGGACACAGGTTGGTGGAATACAAGATTTAAGCTTTTATATTTCCAACCTGCTATCATAAATTGCACAGATTTTTCTGTATTAAAAGTAATTTGTAGTGTCTGTTCTAACAACACTGGTCTTTTTGGCCTTAAAAGCCTTCCAGTCATCCTTAGTGAGCTTGTTATAACGGCAGCTTTAGACAAACCTGCTTCAAAATGGTGGCTGCCTTGGTGTCCTGTCACTGGGGCACGTCTCATAGTGGCAGTTCAGTGCTGCATGTGAGAGAGGAGAGCACCTGGAATATTGCTTTTCTTCAAATACAAGTTTGTGTCATAACATATGACTGCAGAGTTTATGGACACTGCAAATATGGTGAACCATGTAAAATGAAGAAGATACTACCACTTACAAACAGGATCAAAACAGAAGCTATTCTTCACAATTAATGATCAATACAAAGCTTGCTTGCTGTCTGCTAAAAGTAAATGACATTTTCACCTACAAATTTTTGTAAACAAACATTTTTTTCTTGAGGTGAAATCAATTCCTTACTTGTTGGTTCAAATGTCCTGGTTCATTTCTGCTTACCAAACTCTGAAGTATGCTGTGAGAGGCAGGTGCATCAAATGAACTGTCACTGACTCGTGAAGAAATCACTCTCTGTAGGAAAGACAAAAATTTAGTCAATAAGAAAGCAACACGTAGCAAAAGGACTTTAATGACAGGAGAACCTTAAAGTTATATTCTATGGACTAAGTAAGTCCTGCCAGGAGGAACATGATGTTGAAGCTGCTGCTTTCCTCCTTCTCATTCTAACGTCCTCTTTGGAGCATTTGTACACATTTTCCTTCATGCTTTACACCTTGCTCTTTATCTTTGGTCTGTAACTCCACATTGCAACTGAGTTTACTATATAGAATATATCTTACATACATTGCATACTTCTTTTCTATTTTCTTTTCTATGTCTATGCCAGTTTTGCCTTCCTTCCAGGTTCACGCTTAACTGTTGGCTGTGGAGCTGCTCAAAGCCCTGAAGCCTCCCCTGATGTCCTGTGCCAACTTCTCCTACCACCCTACATCCTCATGCCTCTCCACTGCCTCCTGTAGCACCACCAGTGGGACCCCTGCTGCCAGGCCTGGCCTGTGCTCTCCTACACTGTAACGCTGTGCCAGGGCCACAAGCATTTCATTCTACACCAAATGACCACCTGCTACTCCTATCTGCAAAACTTCTGGTTATATCACATCTGTGAAAACAAGTAAAACTAATCAGGAAATAGTCACCTGATTGAAAAAAACAAACTGCTGTCACACTGAAACCGGCTAAAAATCATTCCAGGCAGGCACAGGAGATCTGAAAAGCAAGCCTGACATGCTATACTACTGCAGTGTTAGTGCATAACTATCAATGGTGATAACTGTACTTGTGAGGCTACAGGTTACATAGAACAGGCAGCAGCATGATAGAGCTGCATTGGCTTCAGTGAAGTTTTGTTCCTTCATACCAAAGATCTATTACCAAAATTGCAGAAAAAACAAACCTCTTGCTTAACTGCATCTACGTTTTTTGCCCTGTGTGAAACTATGCAGATTTATTTTGACTGCTTCGAGGAAAGTGTGAGTTTCCTTTTAGACAATGCTTTTTCTTTTCACACTCAGCTCCAACATCCACACTATGAAAGAAGAAACACAGACTTTTATCTTAATGTGTTCATATGAGATTACATAAGGCAGCACAAATGAGTGTAAAACCCAAGGCAACCCATTGTCTATCATCACGTCTAAGAAATGGATTCTCTCTTTGTTCCATTTATTTAATTTTTGCTTGCTTTGCACAAAACCTCCAGAAGTTACAAGTTAGTAAGAATCATACCCCATAACTTCCCATTCAAACCTCAGAAATGTTGGCTTCCTAAAACTTCCATTCAAATTGATGAGCTTCCTGAGTACTTAGCCACAATTAGAATTTAATCCTGGATTAAAAGAATACAAAACAGCAGGAGGAAATCACTGAAAACATAAATAATCTTAACCTAGCTTTGTGCTTCCTTCAGCTGATACTGTTTACATAGTTGTTTACTGGTGTAAGTTGCTATTATAAAATATATACTATTGGATATTATGAAGTCTTTAATACTACATTCCAGCAGATGCATCAGCAGATGTGTGAGCAGATAACAGAAGCCTCTTATAACAATCAGTCTGGGAGACTAGCAAAGAAGCCCTGGACAAGCTGTTTTCTTCTGCTCTTACTTTTTCTGAAGTTCCTATGGTAGAGAGGTTTTGTTTGTTTGTTTGTTTGTTTGTTTTTCTCTCTTCTGTATTCAAAAACCAGGAAGAATGCATCCCCTCAGGATGCTGAAAAGGAAAGACGTTTTTTGCGGCTGATGCTTGGGTACCTGCCACCGGGGGATGCGCAGACCCCAGACCAGGCCGCCCACTGGCTCTCACCTGGGCACTAACAAGGGGATGCAGAAGAGAGTCATGAATGGATGCTGTGAAGGGGAAAGACAACGTGGTGGAAAAGAGTGCAGAAACAGGTTTCTGTGCCTGGAAGCTGATTTTATTACATCTAGTAAGTAACACCCATGGACCAAAACCAGAAATAGTGGTAGGGGAAATTGTACAAAATCAATTTCTCCTATTTGCAGTAGCATCTCTGGTCATCCTTTCCCCCTGTGAGGAAACAAGGGAAAAGTGATCAGCACACAGAGATTTGTGAGGCAGCGAGTCCCAAGGCCAGCTGTAGGAACTTCTGTAGCTTGCCACTGAAGAAAAGACGCAGATAACACACAGCTCCTGGGACTCTGCTGTGCATGGGAGAAACTTGCAGGCTGCTCCTCCCCCTTTCTAGCCAGCATGGCTACCCCAGTGTCAAGATTTGTGGCTTCTTTGCCTCTCCTTATACCGTTAAGGTCAAAATTTGCCCTTCCTGGCAATTCAGGTGGATAAACATATTGATTAAATTCATCTTGAATAAACTCAGGCTAAGCACACCCATCTCTCTGACCACAATAATAAATGTTGTTCAGTGCCTCAGGTCACTGCTGTTGATTACAAACATGATTTCAGCAAACACATTTATGAGTTGCTTCAAAGGAGCTGCTTTTGGCGTGGTGGGAGAACTGTGACTTGTGTAGGGATGCAAGATCACAAAATGTTATTTGAGAGAGAAAAACAAAAACAAAAAAACACACAATAAACAAAAAGAAAAGCTTAGCCACATCTCTGGCTGCAGATAGCCGGCAGTGTTCAATTAGCGAGGTCTCAAAAACAAAACAAAAAAACCCACCAACAAACACAAACAGAGGACATCTAGAGCCACATGCATTAGAACATATGGCAACCTTTAACTTCTGTAGCCCACCACAGCTAGGCCATTTCTATTTTTGGCTGCTGGACACCGTGCTACATGGGACGGTCATGGTGCAGAGTAAGACGTAGTGGGCGGAGAGGTTATTGCAAGTGAACACGAAGGCCCTGCTTCCAGCTGTCAGCAATGCACTGCCACTGACTGCGAGAAACGGGCATGCAGATGGGCTTGCAAAGTGCTGGTGCCTGAGAAGATTAAAAAAGACACCTGCCCTGACCACCACATCACTGCAGAAATTTAGACACAAGCAATTACCCATTCATTTAAGACTATTTGAAGCAAAGCAGGACTGGCAACAGCTTCTACCTTTTTTCTTCATGAGAAAGGGGGAATATAGGCAGAATGCATCCGGAGTCATTCTAGCAGGAAGATGTGCTTTGGAGAAATCACTGTGGTGGCAACTCTGACTGCAATGCTCTTTCACAACTTTGTTTATCTTTCCCCAGACAGCGCATCTCATAAGAGATGAAGAGAAACTTTGTTTAAATATGACTAAGATACTTTAAGATTTGAGATGTTTAATGAAGTACCACAGCCAAGTATATATATATTTTTTCTTAAAATAGATTTTTTTTGATACATAAGAAGACATTGAACTGAAAAGCTACTTTTTTTCTCCACATAAGAACATCATTGGGAATCTTCTAATAACTCCTGTCAAAACTCACCACATTGTAGCTGATAAAAAAAAGTAAGCTACTATTCAGCGATTCCAAGGTCAGCATTAAAAACAAGCCAATTTTTCCCCAGCTCTGTAAAAAAAGCTTTCTCAGCATCTAATAATGCCAAGTGAGAGTTACTAACATGTTTTCCTAACCTCTTTTGTTAACAGTACACAAAGGCAGGGCTATAATTGTATCTGGCTGTGTCCTTCACCACAAGGTTGGATGAACAGCTTTTACGAAGACAGACACCATCATCTCAGTGATCTTCAAGATGTCATCACTGTATGAAAAAGTGTAGATGCCAGCCTTTCTCGAAGTAAATACTGACGCAAGGCATATCTAAACCCCAAAATATTCATAAGATATATATATGTATATTTAACTTTCAAGTATTTTCCATTTATGTTGATCTACTTAACAAAAGGATATTTTCACTGCAGCTTTGAATGGAAAGACCAACAACAATACCACCTGAGAATTACTCACAGTACTTTGCCAGGGCCTTGGTTAGGGTAGGTCATAGGTATCAGTAGCTTCTGCTGAAGAGCCATACAGGGCTACAAACAGCTCTTGAATGCGTCTGTCTGCCAAAATAAAGTTAGCATTGCTAGAAGAGAGAAATACTCAGCACAAGACAAGCCCTACAGAAGAGAAAACATTGTCTCTTCTTACCCTGGATGGTTCTAAAACACCAGTACTGTTTGCAGGCACTCTGCTTGGACAGCACTTTAGGGAAAAAGAAGGAAGCAACTGACTTCTCAGAGAAGAAGCAAGAGCAAACAGCTCCAACAGAAATTTCAGAGTGGCTCTCCTGAAAAATACAGCCTGATCTTGCAAATGAATGGCAAAGTTCTTCAGTACTTCAAAAGAAGCAGCATCAGCTTCTCAGGGATGTTTGCTTGGCATATAAGTAAACAGGCCGCTTATTTGGGTGAGGGCACATGCTGCCAAGCGAGGTCAGAGGAGGTGAGGAGTTTACTCACATCGCAAATGCACAGCCTGACGCAAAGCTGAGCGGTCGGGCACTGCACTGTATTGCCCACTTGCGTTCATAATCCTCCAAGGAGGTCAGCCAGGGCTGTGTCTGCCGAGAGGGAAAACAGAGCCCGTCCCTGTTTGCAGATGCACAGAAAGTGAGCTTTCAAAATGCTGTCAGTCGATCCTCTGGTCACATTACTGATGTAAACTGGAAAAATAAAGCCTAAGATTTGAATAGCACTTTTCACCATTAGAGTGCCAAGGCATTCCACAAAGGGTATTTTATTTGTCCAGGAAAACCTAGCAGATCCCTGCCAAGTTCAGGGCTTGGTCACACATCACCAGAGTGTCCTGAGCCTCCTTGGCACATATGGTGAGTTTGAGAGAGATCTTTCTGGATACTAGGCCAGAGATCAAATGTATTTGCTTCCTCATAATGTTTTCAATCATATTCTGTCATTGGAGAAGGAGAGAGGCTCAGGGATGCTGAGGATTTTCTCTAAAAGCCTAACAATTAATGACTCTTTAACAGCCTGGCTGGAAGGAGAACCTGGTAAAACTGTGTTAATGGTACTCCTTTTCTTCTCCCAAACATCAACTGAAAGCTTTTATTCCTCAAATAAAAGATATGCACCCCACCCCATCTTTCCATGTGCACTGAAAGGGTGAGCAGCTGCCTCTGGGCGTGTTACAGGCACTGATCTGCGAAGGGGGTGCAGGGCTCTGAGAGCATTCTGAGACACCAAATTCCTCCTATTTGGATTGGAAGAGACTGCACTGTGAAGCTGGGGCATGCACCTGCAGTGGTGGAGATGGAGATCCCTGGCTGGAGGCAGCAGGAAAGGCTGTCTCTGCTGGGGTGGAGAGCTCGCTGGTTGGAAATCCTGTCACACCGCTGCACTTTGTTTTCATTTTTAAAATTGCATTTTCTAACAAAAAGGCTCATCCTTTTTGTACATCAAAATCCTACATATAGTAGGACTATATATCCTATATACAGTAGGACTTTCAAAAACCTGTTTCATTTCACTAAAGTCCTCAAGAGGTGCAAGGCTATGAATCCCCTTCAGCTTTCACATAGTCTTACTGAACACAGAGCTATCAGTGTGCAGTGCTGGGGCAGGTCATTGTGATCACAGCTGATCAATTACATTGACCACACAATCAGCCAGGGACCAGTAGAAGCAACTTAAGAATCCTTGAGGTAAAAATTTACAGCATTGTTACAGGTGAGATGACACCAAACTAGCTATAAGCAAATGTATGTAAATTTTAATATGCTGACTGGCTACAGGCACTGAGTTCCAGGGAAATCCAAAGTATATCATGGCAGGGCATTGCACTGTAGTGACGAGATCATTTAAATGATCCTAAGGCACTGGAAATCCAAGTATAAAGGTAGTAAGAATGAAATAGGTATTTACTGGGGAGCATTAAAATGAGATTATATACTTCACTTTTAGTATTTAATCCCCCTTCTCCCCAAAATTAACTCCTATACAAAGAACTATATATATTTCTCAGAGCTCACTCCCTGGGCAAGCTTTTGTGGCTAAGTGGTTTTAAGTAGCAAATTATCATAGTGTAATACATTATGTAAAGCACTATTTTCATTAATAATGGATAAAAATACACAAAGGCTTTCCTGTATTTGTCGTATCGTCAGAGTGATCTAGCTTGACCTTTCTTTCATCATGGAATGTAATCCTAGAACCAAGAGAGGATGCTTCAAACGTGTCCCATTGCTGCCATCCCGTGGCAGGCACATGTATTTCAGCTCGACACCAGAGTGAAAATACTCCTCTAAGGGTGTTATTTTACAAAGATCTGTTATCAACTCCTACTACTAAATGCCACAGAAGGAACGATAGTCACCTGCAAACGGTAGTTTTCAAATCTGAGAAAGCCACGGGCCATTGCAGAAATTCAAGCAGAGGTGACTCTCCTAAGCAGAAAATAAGGATTAGATGTCAGGGGGCTCGTGTTTCTTAAACTGACAGGCACTGCAGCATTCAGTGGTCTAATCCAGAAAGGTTGCTAATGCTATCTCATCTCTAACCTTAACCATGCCAGACAGACAATTCCAGAATAAACAGGAGGATACCCCCTGTTCCTCATAGAAACTCTGGTAGTGCCTTCAATTGGAAAAGCCAACAGATGGCTGCATCCAATACCAACATGATAGTACTGGTCCCAACTCTGCATATGGAATCCTGCCTAAGCCACACAACACTCACCGTAGAGAAGATTTGATGACCAGAGGCACATAGGTGGGATCACACAGTGCCATCTTTCCCCCAGAAGGATCAGGGTGGGTGAGAACTTCCTTTGGTGCCCTCTGGTGCCCCGTTATGCCCTCTGGGGAGGGAGCAGGCATCCCTCAGAGACTGCCAGAGCACCACCTGTGGCTGCCCTAGCACAGTACATGCAAGCATGGTCTGCGTTGCCTAGAATCTCACTGCCAGGCCCTTACCAGCAATCAAGCCTTCGGCTTCAGGCCAACAGGAGAGCTGTCAGCAGGATTTTGGTGGAGCTTGCAATACCACTGCCCAGTTTATCTACTCACAAACTGTTCACTTGGCAGCGTTGAAGAAGCCGTGAAGCAATGCACAATTTAGCAACCTTCGCAGGACTCCTGCTCTCGTAACACAGCCCTCAGACACCACCAGAAACAACTCACAGGCACCAAGTCCTGCCTTTGATGCCAGTCTGAATGCCCCAACTTCCAGGAGCAAGGCCAGAGTCTCTTCCATCCTGAAGATAACAGGTTCCGAGGGAGTCCAAGTGCTAATTCACAGCAGAGTAAATACCACTTTACCATGCTGCCCAAATCCTCAGTGGAAAAGGTATTCAGCCAAAACACTAAACATAAGGCAGAGGTAGGCACTAGGAAGGTTGATATGGCATGTGTCATCTCTGTACTGTGAAGTCTGCACAAAGATGATGGGAAACCATTCTAGACCACGGCAGCATGATGCCCACATATACATGTGCAGCCCAGACTTATTTTCCTCTTAGCATGTGACGACAGAGAAGTCAGAAAAACACCCAACTCCCTCTGTACTCAGCTGAGAACTAGATAACAGCCTCCACAAACCAACCAACTTACTCCAACACAAATTGGGAATTTCAGTCCCCCAGCACCCGCAATCCTACTCTCTGAATCATGCACGACCGCCTCTTTAATGCTGTTCTCTTTAATAGACCCTTCCCTTCTTCTGTGCTTTGTACTCAACAGCCTGAGCAGCTACGCAGACCACATGTCCTCCCTTCAGCCTCCCACCTGCTCTGCTCAGAGCTAGCAGCTCACCTCAGCCTTGCCTGCCCTCAGGGCCAGCACCCCCAACACGCGCTTGCTCAGTCTGAGCCTTCCTTGCTTATTCATCAAGTTTATCCAACATGCAGCTCCCTCGTGCATTTCCCTTCTTCAAAGACATGAGTCTTAGCTACTTATGTTCTATAGGATATTTAAAAGACAAGGGGCTTACAGCTTGTTAATAACTGAAAAGCCACCTGGGCAGGTTTGGAAGAGCAATGGAAGCTGAGTGGGCCTGCCATGTTGTCCTTACTGAGGCACTGAGCAAGCACGAGCCACTGAGGTAGCCTCAGGCACAGGGGCGCGAGCAGGCAGAGGAAGGAACATAGGCAAGGAAAGGGGCAGGAAGGGCCATGCAGAAAGAAACATGGGTGAGGGAGGCTACTGTGGGACTTAGTCCTGCCCAGGAAATACAGGCTGAAAAGAGGTATAGGCCCAAACAAACAAAAATGCCTTTTTGTCTGTTCTGCCACTTCATCTTCTGAATACTGCTGTGCGTAGCACTGGGGATTTAATCTTACCTTCTATCCATCCACAGCTGATTTCCACAAGGTCCTGGCTGGGCACATTCATAGTGGCAAAGAACACGTCTATCTTCTGACATGCTGTGATGCCCAGACTTTCAGCTGTGAGAAGGGGACTGCTTCTCATTTCCAGGGAATTAAGTTTTTACAAGAGAACGAGCGCCTATCCCAGAGTGGCGTGCTCTTATCTCAAGTTCCCGAGTTCCTGATACTGCTCTGACTACTGCATTGTCTAAGGAGAATACTAATGAAAAGTGTGCTGAAATCTATTTTGTTTTCTTCAGACACTTTTTTTTTTTTTTTTTTTTAAATGTGTGCTAAAGGCAACTGTAGTGCCACAGGGCCTCCTGGTGCTGGATCTTCTTTAATCTCAGATATATAATTAGAGGGAGAAATTGCACGATTTTAAGCGGTTCTGGTGACAACGAGGTTTAGATCAGGCTGATAGAACTGTTCCCTTCACACATCA